ACCCCTGCACATCGCAAGACGACCTTCATGACGTTGCTCCATTTCCGCTGGATCAGCCTTTCGGGATCTTAGAGTACGGCTTACACCATCTTTTCTTCGATTTGTTCTCCTCGTTGCAGCTTCCACCACAGAACCCTCCGTTCCGTTTTTGTCCTTGATTTTTTTGGGAAGATCGACGGCTTCGTCTGCTAGGAGAAGCCTGTCCCGGCAGTACTTTTGTGTCCTTCACAGTTTTGAAAAATCTGGTTCTTTCAAGTACATGATTTATTTCTGTTTTTTTCAATACGAGGCTAGTTTAGGATTCGTAATCCAAGTTGAGTAATTCACAGTACAATCTCGTCGAGTCGGGTGATACATCGCTGTTCGACATGATTATGATAAGGTGGCATAGTTCACACGTCGACGGGGTCGAATAGAGGATAACAGCTCCACCAAAGACATTCTGCTCCCTGGTCCAGATTGGCCCCACGCGCTCTCTTCAATTCGTTTTTTCAAATTTTTCTTTTTTTCTCTAATTATAGCAAGTCCAGGAAATGTTCTTAAGAAATATACGAGCCTGGAGTCTCAAAGGGGAAAATGGATCGGAGTGAGACCGAACCCTGGAGGGTATGATTTTTATCAGACTGAAAAATAATTGTTGGTCGCTTCTTCATGGTGACGCCAGATTCTTTGAAACAAGTTTCTAATCTTTCCGCCATAGTAGTATGGAGAAACTAAGCCCACATTCATACCGCGGAAGTTGAACACACCTGCTCCTCTATCGTTTGCGAATGTTAAGCAATAATGCTGTCTATACTCATACCTGGCACTGTCTTCCTTACAAGTTCCGTCTTGAACAATCAGTTGGCGAGGTCTGTCGTAACATTTGTGCCTCAGAAGAGAGGACGCGTTAAACTGATGGACCTGTCGTCGTTGGTTGCAGTAGTTTGGCGAAGCTGACTACAACCTTCGAGCCACCCTTGATCGGGATTCTCCGTCGACAAAGATTATAATCGGACCAAAAATTTATTACAAAGCAACCGCTAGCGGCTACCCGTCAACTTATTGCAGACATGCAGTTCTACCAGAGAGCCGTGAGCTCACCCGCCGAGCTGTGAGAAATCTTACAAGCTGAGCAAGTGGTGCCCACACGAACAGAATGGTGCCCACAGAACAGAGTTATGCTACTTTGCGGACACGTAAGAACATCTGTCACAGTTTGCTATTCAGAAGTCGCCCTTATGATAGGCTCGAAGAGAGGCTTAATGGAAACGAAAAAAGAGAAGTCTACGTGAATCATACACGGAAGCGTCAAAGTTTGGATGAAGTTCAACAGCCAATGACAATTACAAAAGGTGGCTTTCAACCAAAGTAAAGCATGCTCCCCTTTCTTTCTGAACAAGGCCTCTATTACTACGGCCTTCTGAATTACGTCACCCCGTTGCATCCCACTGACACACACCTGTTGCACCCCTTTCACCTACTATTTGTTCTATTTAGCAAGCAATCGATGAATTTAGTTATAGAGAGTTGTGGTAGTTGTTGCACCTAACAAAGCAGTTTTAAAGAAAGAAGTATGATTTTATATATCGGCATCAGAACCTGACATTACTTTCTTTCACATAAGCTAAACGAGCCAAGCCAACTCGTTGTTTGGCTAACGCCACTGTAATTCTCAGCTAACTTCATGCTTCACATCCCTTCACGCACACCAGACATTCTTCACCAAAAGTTGTAATAAAATTCCGGTGAGCAGCTCGAAGGGTCTCTGCCATTCTTATTGGGTCGTCGTGCATTCGAGTGGGGAGGATTTTTCTCATGATAATAGTCTACTTCACGCGACCATTGGCTGTCCTGTGTTTTTCGATCGGGTTCGTCAGTTTTTCCAATTTTCAACATTCACTACAACTCTCCACTACTGAACCCATCGGTCAAGCAGAGTTTGGTAAATGGAACGAGCAATGTGCCAACGGAATGCAACGGTGTGTCTGTCAATGCATGCAACGGGAACGTTCAGATGTGATGTGATGTCGTTCAGAAGAACATGGTGATGCAGGAATCTTTTACTCCACAAAACGTAGACGTGGCTTACTTCGATCAAAATTCACCTCTTGGAATTGACAACAACTGTTAATCTTAATCCACCCATAGTCGCCGCCATGTATAATTAAAGTGCCACTTTACGTTTTCAATAACCGTCTCTTCAAGCCTAGAATAACGGCAACTTCTGAATAACAAACTTTGGCACATGTTTTGACATGTCCGCAAAGTAGCATCACCCTGTTCGTGTGGGCTCCATCTCCTCAGCTTGTAAGACTTCTCCGCAGGTCGGAGTGTAGACCCGGCTCCTTGGTTGAACTGCATGTTTGCAGTAAGTAGACGGTGTTATTTGCTTTTCAATGGCTCTTTAGTCCAATTAGAATCGTTGTTGACGGGGAATCCCGATCACGGTTGGTTGAAGGTTGTAGTTGGCTTCGTGAAGCTCCTGCAACCAACGACGACAGGTCCTTCCATTTACCGCGTCCTGTCTTCTGAGGCACAAATGTAGCGACAGACTTCGCCAACTGATTGTTTAAGAGGGAACTTGTAAAGAAGACAGTGCCAGGCGTGAGTGTAGAAAGCATTATTGCTCAACGCTCGCAGATGAGAGATGAGCAGGTGCGTTCAAATTCCGCGGTATGAAGTGTGCCTAGGTTTCTCCATATCATTATGGCGAGAAGAATAGAAACTTGTTCCAAGGAATCTGGCGTTACCATAATGAAGAGAGCCGTGAGCGAGGGGGACCCATGAATAAAAGAGGCTCATAGTAGCCTCGAAAAAAAATTTTCAAATACTTCTCATCGAGTGCCTTTATATGGAACCACAGTAGTCTCGGTGCGCATTCTTCTTATTGCCTAGCCCTCATCTAAATAGATGTTGTACTTAGTACTCGTATGTTGTTCAAAGCATAGATTCAAACGTCTTCGAGCTGTAAGGCGGGCCTTCGGTCGTAGTGGACCACCATGTGAGCACTCTTCGCAATCGTCGCGTCCTCATTCTGTATTCAAGAAGGCTCACCTAGTTAGTCAATCTCTCAAACAGATGAATGATATGGCTTGAGTACAAGTTAACCGATCTCTTCAACTACCAATAACTTCACTTCTTAGGCGGGATGTATGCATTGATAAGTATTCTTTGTATCCAATGATGATATATATTCCAGGTTTATGCATTGGTCTTGGAGGACTGATATCAACACTTTCAACGCAACAGAGCTCGACACACATGTTTGATTTTGATGTTTGGTTCGCGAATATTTTTCTGTCTAAAGAATCATGAAGGGAAGAGAAACACAAGTACAAGCCCCAACAGCAGGTTAGGAAGCGTGACAGGGATTAGGCACTTTGCAAAAGATTCGTGTGAGAAGAGAGCTTAGGCATGTTCTAGTGCTGCCGAAGAAAAGCGAAGCCTGAAGATGCACGACTCTTGGGATACCAGCTTTGATTGTTAGTGTTAATGTCAATCCTCAATTGTTTCCTTCTCAAGGGTTGTAGTGTTGTGGAAGAATTTTCGCTTATGTTTTTGAGTGCATTAAAGCACGACGTCATCCTAGCGACTATGGAAACACGGACCACTCAAGGTTCTTACCACTTAACTGATTGTAGGCCTCTCACACAGCAATTATCGTAGAAACTCCGAAAGTGGATGTAAAATTATCGGAGTCCTTAGGTTGTAGTGATCATATCGCTACCAATCTTTCTCAAAATCGGTGATATTGTACATGATCCATGTCTGAATGATCACGGTCTGTGAGCTGAAGTATTACACATTACTTATTCCAGCTTCCGAAGAATCATATGCACAAGGGACTTTGTCTTATCACTTCCTTAACAAACTAACATATTACAAAGCCAGCGGGTAGTTTTTTCGCTGCCTATACTATCAGAGGCGCATCCTGTGGAGTGTATAAGCAAAGGAACAAATAAGTAAGTAAATAAATGCATAAGTAAATCACCATAAAAGCAAGGCATAAAAAACATAAAAATTAGTATATAGCATCTAAAACTAAAGTAGCAAACGTGAGAAGGATAAAACTCGAGCCACTTCCGAGGGAGCTGTCCGCGCTACAGAAAGTGTCCCTGTGCTGAAAGGTGGTGCCCTTTTAGGTCTTGCGGAGGTTGCGGGTTCGCTTCGCTCCCTTCGTTGTCGCAGTTTTTGCACAGCACCCTTCTGCCTCGATAGACTATCGTTAGGCTTTAGGCTATCGTTAATGCTCATCGCACGCACTTATGGCAGAAAATTTTGCAATAATTTATATGACTACTAATTGCCTCCAAAGGTGGAACACACGAGAGAAGTCGCCTCGGTATAGACATGTGTAAATTGATGAAAAAATCAGGAAGTATTGTAAAGATGTGTTATGTGTTTTCTCATCCCTGTGTTCCCCATTTTCATACACAGGTGAACGGATGATACTAAACAGAGAGGAAAAACGATGAGCCGCACCGTACTAGTGCTGGATGTAACGTTACAGATGTGAGAAATGTTTCACCGATACAACTCGCATGAAGGGATGGATGGAAGTGATGGTTCTTAATGCTCTTTACAATCTTCTCACTTGATGCTCGATTAACTTGATGACTAAAAAGATTAATGACAGCCGAGTCACCTTTTTTAATCGAGATCGCTTCATATCTAGGCGAAATAGGCGTATAGCCTATCGTGAATCGAGAGATTGGGTGGTTTGGGGGAGTTGCGCGATGCAGAAATAGCGCTGTGTAGCGGCGCCCAGATAGCAATTGAAACCTATGCGATCCAACAACAATTTAGCTACGAAAAGCAGCGCCGAACGACGTAAATCGCCCAGTCCCATTACGAACGATGTTACGACGCAATTTCTGGATTAGGCAACTAGTGAGCGGAGGTCGAGTTGATCGACCTTAAGGAAAGGCCAGCTGACGGATGGGACGACTCATAGCTGTCACGATTTGCAACTTTTTTTGCTGTTTCCTCTCAATAAATCTTAGATAGAGATGAACTTTTCATGTATTCGTTACCACTACTGGCTTGCTCTAAAATAAAATTATCGAGACCAGTTAAGTGATTCGCTGCGCTCTAGTTTATAGAGTAGAAGCTGGAATGCCATACTAACGCCTGTCATTCCTCCTTCCCCCTTTCGCTTATAAGATGATTAGTTAATAGCCCCATATCGAGTAGTACAGATCGAAGCAACAGAATCGATGATCTTTTCCGCTACTTCCACAGCTATACTGTCGCAATATAACTTCTTTCAATTTTCTCGAGGTTCAAAACGAAGATTATGCGAACGATCAATCACACAACAAATCGATGTAAACAAAATTGAGTCAGTTTGAAGCGCTTTCGGACAGGAATGTAGCGATGGCTTTCAACTTTGCTTACTTTCATGCCCTCCATAGCTGCCTTGTCTTGTTACGCTTGCATAATTTGTTCTCGGCCGAGCTTCCTTCTGAATGTGTCTGGCTTCCAGAGACCGCTTACTCATTAATTCATACTTTGGTAGAAGCAGATAAAAACAAGCAGTGTTGTGAATATTATTTTGCAGCAAAAAGTTAACAACATAACTAGCTACGAGTATGGTAAATACTTTGAACAGACAACAGTTCAATTCGTCCCCTGCTAAGCGTGAAGGCATGTGATCGACTCATACGGCTATCCCATCAACTATATCAACACCATCCAGAGACTATTAAAGCCAGTCCAGAAACCAGAAACCGTCACTCACTCACAGGCTCAAAAAGTCTCTGGTTTTCACTCTATTTGTCAAATTTAGCCTACGTGAATTATGGATCAGTGGCGTTGAATTCAAAGTCCACTGTTAAATACCAATATTGCATAGGTTGTTGGTTTTCGAGACTTCCGTTTCACCTTTGGGTCTGCGACACAGGTCCGGAAAGTCTTTGGCATTTTTCTTTGGTTCTTTGGAGTAACAACACGAATAAATAGGCTCTGAAGCCCCAACGAATCTCAACCCCGACTTCAGAGTCGTCTTCATTATGGGATTTAATCGTGTCGTACCCTAAGGCAAATCAATTCTCGTTAACACGTTTACTCATACGTGAATGAAGTAGTCTGTTCTACTCGTCAATGAAGTGCTCCATGTTTCCCCTGCTACGTAATATGAGCCTTACTCAAGTGGATATTTTACTTATTTTTATTTAGAATACACTCCTAAGAGTGTGCCTGAGTAAGGCAGAAAGCGGGAAATAACACAAATAGGCAAGGGGAAATTCAGCGCCTTACATATTGGAAACTAAAGAACTGATCTCGAGCAAAAAACAAAAAAAGAAACATAAATAGAAAGCAGAAACAAAACAACTCAGGAAAATCCAAATCAAATCGTAGGAATGTAGCACCGAATAGATGATTGATGGACAGTGATTCTTACAGTACTCACGATAACGTCCCAGATGAAGCAGATCTTCAAGCAAATCCTCGGTCACTGGTGGTGAATATTCTTCCAACCTCAAGAGTTACCTGGCACGGTCTATTCTGATAAGACGGAAGAAAGCACAGCACACACTTGGTCCCCTGATAGTGACAAGAGATCAATGAAGTGGTGGATGGCGCTAGGGATAACGTCACTCAACAGAGCACAAGGGCATGCAAGTCAAACCACGAGATCAGATTTTCGGATGTTAGGTATTCCCCCCCCCCCCCCCCCC